CGATCTGAAAGTTTGCACACGTCCTTTTCTCCGTAAGAAGCTGCTCACTTGCCGATACCGCCGATATCGAACCACTAATACATATAGCTGCCATACAAACTGAACAACAGGAATAAAGTGCTTGCATGGAAAACTTTTTCATTTGACGAGATATCTTCACAATAGTGTAAAGTCCAGTAAATATTGTATATAAAATGTTCACTTACGTGCTGATTTAAACAAAAAAAAATTAATAGTAAGTTCACATAAATATATGCATAGATATGTAGAGTATGTAAATTTAATATTATTCATTGATTGATTAATATGAATATAATAGTCTGTTTCAAAATATGTCTAGTTATTTTCTAACCTTTATCATAAAGCGCTGCAGCCTAATGAAAACGCAAATCAATATTTTTTTTTATTTCAGCTCAAATTCAACGGGGACTTCATGCAAGTGTGCACACGCAGATATTTATGGCTGTACATATGTACGAGTATATGAAAATCAACATTTCCAACACAATTAACTTTTCAGATTCATTAAAATTGATTTTAGTTATTGGACGCACTCTGCATAGTGCCTTCAAATTATTCCAGCATTTCGAATGCAATTAAAAAATGATTTTACCTTCAGAAATAGTGGTGCATGTACGTATGTATTTCTAAAATTAAATTTGAAATTAAATCAAAAGATAGAAAAAGTCTTAAGTTCATTATTTTCTGTACAATTGCATATTGAGTCATGCGGCTACGACATTTTAGCTTTGTCACTCACTAAATGGGCAGTTCTTTGTAATCGCATGTTACCATGTGCTATACAAATAATATACATATTTTGTATGTACATGGATAATGCTATACAAATATGTATGTATGTACAATTGTTTAACTGCGGCTCAATGGGCGGAGTGGATGTTTAAAGTTTTTTATGAAGTAGTAGTACACTGAACAGGGTATATTAAGTTTGTCACAAAGTTTGTAGCATCGAGAAGGAAATGTCGGAGAGCCTTTAAAATGTACATGCATATGTATATATAGTTGTATAAATGATCAACGTGACGAGCTGAGTCGATTTAATCATGTACGTTTGTCTGCATATACGCGAACTTTGTAGTTTCTCAGTTTTTGAGATATTGATCTGAAATTTTTCATATGTGCTTTTCTTGTCAAGCAGCTGCTCACTTGTCGGAGTACGCGATATCGGACCACTATAGCATATAGCTGCCACACAAACTGATCAAAAAAAAAATCAAGTCATTGTATAGAAAACTTTTGTATTTGGCGAGATATCTTAACGAAATTTGGCATAGAATATTGGCCAATTTAACGTTACAAACTTCGAATAAATTGTTTAGGTCAGACTACTATAGCATATAGCTGGCATGCAAACTGAACGATCGAAATCAAGCTTTTGCATCGAAACATTTTTATTTGTGAACGGTATGATAGCTTCAGTGCAAAAAGATATCATAAATTCTCTTAAAAATGTTATAATGTTAACAAATCAATTAGATTATTTCCGAAAACACGTGTCTTGTATCCCATATACACTTAAATAAACTTTCACTACGCACGTTTTATCTTGCTATTCTTTCTAATCTCAAGTCTGGTAACACTTTATCATCATAATCATATAATTTTGTGCAACGTTTTAAACGAAGTTGAAATATAACCCATATTTTATTTCTTTACACCTGGTAGCCGGCATGAATCATTAAGATGCAAATGTGTTGCTAGGGAACATTACTTGTGAACCAGCCTTAATTTTTTTTTTTTTTTTGGTTGGCAACAACATCATATTTTTTCATTGTGTTGAAAATGTCAAATTTTGTACCCGAAAGTGATGATATGCGCAAAGATCATGATCATGCGCTATTAGAAGCAACATGCAACGGTTTCAACGGTTCAGAGATCATGATTTTGATGTGAGAAATGAAGAACGTGGAAGACCACCAAAAAAGTTTGAAGACGCCGAACTGCAAGCAATATTGGATGAAGCTGATACTTTCGAGTCAAAAGCAAATGGCAGCCATGTTAAATGTTGCACAACAAATAACATCAGACGGTTTGAAAGCTTTGGAATGATGTAAAAGTGTGGAAAACGGGTGACACATGAATTGAATGTAAGACAAATGGAAAACCGAAAAAAACAATTGTAAAATTTTTCTTCAAAAACACGAAAGAAAATCAGTTTTGCAACGAATTGTCACTGGCGATAAAAAATGGATTTATTTTAAGAATCCTAAAGGGAGAAAAACGTGGGTTAATCCGGAACAATCATCAACATCGACTGCAAAAACAGATCGATTCGGTAAGTAGACAATGGCTCTGTGCTTGGTGAATCAGAAGGGTGTGGTATATCAAAAGGTTCTAAAACCTTGATGAAACTATTAATATGCACCTGCACACAAAAAAAGTAAATCGGCTCAGGCAAACTACTTAGCTGGGAGCTGCTACCTCACCCGCTGTATTAACCAGACTTGACACCTTTCGAATACCATTTATTTTCATTGTTGGGACACGCATTGGTTGAGCAGCACTTCGATTGCTACGCAGAAGTCGGAAATTTGGTGTTTGATTTGTTTGCTTCAAAAGACGAACATTTCTATTGGCATGGTATCTACAAATTGTCAGAAAGGTCGTTAAAATGTGCAAAAAGCAATGGCCAATACTTTGAGTACATTTTTTTTACTTTCTCATTCAAAATTAGTATTTCATTTTTACAAAAATATGTACATATACATACGTAGATATTTATGTCATATGCACATATTTTACTTTATTTTTATATATTACTTACTTTAATAAATTTTAAAATGAAAGGGGGAAGAGCATATTATCACCAGATGCCACGCCAAATTTACTATGAGTTTAGTAAGAAGCAGCAATAATATTCAATTGAAAATTAAACTAAGTAGATGAAGTGAATCAATTTATGTAGCTCCTACACACATAAAAACCCGTGCCGTTCCCGCGAATGTCGGGTCTACGTAACCGGAACGGATTAGTCACACATCTTTTCGTTTGATTGCTTCAAATTATCGCTTTCTAACAATTACATTGAATAAAATATTCTCAGCTATTTCTAGGAGAGTGTTTAGTTTACTTTTTCACCTCAATTAAAATACTGTTATATTTGCGTAATTGTATGTGGAGCATGCCCTGACCCGGAAAAGGTGGTCTAACAAAGTAATACTATGTGCTTATAAATACACTTGTCTTTAATTATTGCGCACTCTTGGTATCGCATATATCAACGTATTAATATTGAAACTCATTTAACAAAGCGACAACAAAAAAAATGTTTAACAATAATTGGAAACATATATTGCCTTCCACAAATGTGAAATAAAAATAGGTTCAATGGAATTAATTATATAAAATGAGTTGTTCAATTTAATAAAAAAAAATCAACGGTGCATTTACAAAGAAAGGGAATGTATGTACATACATACCTACGTATACACATACATATGTACTACTAGAATACGCACCTTAAATATAACACGTCTTTGTAATTACCATTTTATTGCCATACTGCTCCAACCTTTGATTTAGTATTACTTAAGCATGGAGTAATGGCTGCATTACAAGCACATTCACTTCTTTATAAAACATGAGTATGAGTGTACAAAGTGAAGAAAAAGTAAAGAACAACAAATTAAAAACTAAAATCAGGCGACACTACGGGAAATTTACAAATTCTAATGAGTGCATTCATTAACTATCACGTCTTTACAAGAAATATGTATTCACAGTCTGCCCGAGTCGAAAAAATGTATTTTGGATTAACTTGGAACACCCTTCCATATGTGTAACATGCAATCATTCACCAGTAATTGCATATTTCGTCATGCAGAAATAAAATCGAAAATGGAATAAGTCAAATGACCTAAATAACGAAATCAAGACGAATACAAGAAAAATAAGGCATTAAAATGAAGTAGTGAATGTGCTAATAGGTGTTTGTAAACAAACTGCACATTACTGCATTTTATGCTTGTATGTACCATATACATACAAAAGCAAACTTTACAAATACACGCATTTATGAATACTTGGACAAATCTCTGGACACCGATCAGATAGTTGCCAGACAACTTATGAAGCGCGCTCAGCTGATCGTGTAATCAAAAGGGAAGACGTAAAAAAGCTCGTCTCAGTAAAAATATTTTGAATGGTATGTACATATTTGTATGTTTGTACTTTCATATGTATGGGTGTATTGAGCGACATTAATGTACGTAAGTGCGTATAATGGGAAAACTTACTGCACATTTTCTACTATGTGCAATAATAAAAATGCAATTATTCTTGTAGTGTTTGTAATTGTGAATGATTTATACGATTCTGTAAATAAAAGCTTAATCAACCGCAGTTATATATCTGTTGTAGAGAGAATTAAAGCAAATCGAATTCAAGTGGTAGATATAATGATATGAGCATAGAAATTAAAAAAAAAAAAAAAAAGAGAAAAAACTAAATTGTTAAAGGTAGTTAGACTGATCGTGACGAGCGCGAAAAAACAAAGATGGGAAGTTGATCAAAAATCATTTACACATACATAAAAGTAGTTGTACAACTGCATTTAAGTATAATATAATTGCTATAGACTTAATGATGATTGGCTACTCAGACTCTTAACAACAACAAAGCGATAGCAACAGCAACAGCAAAATTTTGGGCTTTTGCTTCCGAGGTATTTAGTCTGAACGATTGCACTTGAAAACTGGAAATTCGCATGCTGAACATTTTTTTCCATTGTGTTATTAAAAACCGGAATATTGTCTTAATGCACAAGCACACACAAACACAATTCAAAGAATAGGCAGTGAGTTAAAACTTAGCGCCAAATTTTTTTTTTTCAATGTTAGCGTTTAAGTTTTTGAGCCGCTTTTTTAATGTCAAACATACCACAAAGATTCAATAAAAGTATAAAGAAAGTAGCAGCACGTAATTAATTAATAATCATATACGTACATACTATGTATGGTTGTTTCAAAGTACACACTCACCTACGCTTGCTAGACATTTTGCCATAGGCAATTATCCAAAGAGCGGCAGAAACACCCGCCACTCCCACTATGGCGCTCTGATTTTGTGTTATTTTACTTAGCGCTGGTGCCATGTTTGCCAATTACGCCAGTTGGTCTTCCGCTAGGCTTGTGTTTTTTTTTACTACGTCCAAATTACTGCCACACGCCTTTTGGCAGAACGCTTCAATCACTTGAATACGTCCAGAAAATTCACGTATTTCTAAGCGTTTAATCTTTTTCTACGCGTTAACACGCTAATTAAACCTTGTAATTTTTTTTATTCACTTATCTTAAATTTCCGCCTTATTTCTTTACACAGCAAGAAAGTAAATTTCACACCATTTAGCATGCAGATTGTAGCAAAATACTCCTTTTTAACGCGTCAAAAACACCAGCAAGCAATTTTATCATCGGATTTTGTTTTATGTGCACACGTTTTTGTTTTAATTTTCTTATTCGAAAACCGAAAAATCCGCTGAATATGTTAATAGTATCTATCAGAGCAGTTTAATTCTTTTTGCGCAACATCTATTCCACTTCAACACCACATCCACTTGCTCCAACTAAAGTACAATTTATAATACTGTTATACTGTGGCTCCAATTACTTTGACAAACGTTAGACAGGCGCTTTTAGCTGTCAAACGTTTTGTCAACGCTTTTCTTTTATCCTAATTTTTCTCTATGTTGCCAGATGTGCTATAAACCAGAGAACGTATATTATAGAGAAGTTTCAATTGCGGTCCAGCGTGTGAATTGTCAAACGATGTAATTGTCAAATATGATATACGTTCTCTGTTGTTAGCTGCACAAATAATTTTATTGATTAAAAAATTTCACATTGATTAATAATAAAAATTACAACAACAATATTTGTAGAATATTTTATGGATAATAACATCATGCGTAAAGCCATAAAATCAAAATAGTCCTCTATTGGTATATTGTTATATAGTTTACGGTGATCTACGGTCTTATGTTTAAGTATCTGAAATCTGTTGAAGTCTATGTCTCATATCTTCCCATAATAAAATATAATTTAAATTTCTAACTGCTTCTGCGTTTAATTTGAGCTCATTGCTATAAATGATCACATCTGCTATAGAAAACGATTTTCTTGAATTAGCTCGAAAGCAGCAGCAACCCTATCGAATTCAGCAAGTCAGCGGTAACCGATTGTGAATCGTTCCGTCAATCGCCATATTGATTTTAGACGAAAAATCTCAAGCAGCCACATTGAATCGTGACATTTAGTTGCACTAAAAAGAATAAATTTTCACAGCTCTTTCGGAGACCTCAAGGTATGGAAATTTCAGAAATTGGTGCTTGATTATTTTTGTTTTATGTACGTCTTGGAAAAAATTTGAAAAGGAATGGAATTGATGGATAATTCAGCAGAATTGTCTAGGCGGTGACGATCGCTCGCGAAGTTCTTAACATGGGGGGGTTTAAAATAAAATTACATAACAATTATTTTTGACTTAAGTAAGTTTTAAATGTGGACAACTCGTTTACATTTTTATGTTAAAGTGTATAAAGACTGAAAACAAATATTTAAGTATATATTTGAAGAGATAATGAATTGAAATGCACAGTTTGGGAAAACACGAAGTATTCATGCCTTCAAGTTCATTTTTTACACAGGAATTTTTAAAAAACGTTTCCATGAATAGGACACAACTATAACACGCTGAGCCGCAAATTTAATTAATTCAACTGAGAAATATCAACTATACTACGTCAGCATTTGTACTGCATAACAAAGCCGGATAAAGAAACTTTGGAACGAAGCATTTGCCAACCAAACACACGGTAGTGAACGCTTGGTGCTTCGCAAAAGTGGAAGAATACAGTAAGAGCGAACATGTAATGTCCTTTTTTTAGCATTGAAATACATACATTAATTTCATATATTTCTTTAACACTTATCGTTAATATTTTCTTGTTTCCAAATTACGTCAAAATTTCTAATTACAAATAGTCAAAGACAGTTACTTTGCTGCACTTTGATAATGAACAAGAAAATATGTCGTTTAAACAAAAGAAAAAAAATACATAATAGTATTCAATATCGTATAGAGATTGTTATGAGTATAAAAGCAGCAGAACGCGAAATTGTAATGTGATTTATTAAAAGGGCTATAGTTTGATTTACAGATATAAACAACACCCATCCAAAGGCTCACAAAGTGAAAATTTGAAATGTCTTCCATGAGTCACCGGCAGCAACGTGATGTTGGATATGATCACGATACGCGGAGGGAAGATCGAAAAAGACGTAGCCGCTCCAGTAGTCGTTCGCGTCATCGTCGCTACCATGACAGCCATTCATACAGTCGCAGTCGTAGTCGATCCATAGACTATCGAAAGCGTCGAAACAACAGACGTTCCCGTAGTAGGAGCTATAGTCGACGTGATAGACACAACTCTAGCCGGCGACATAGAGATTCTCGTAGTCGAAGCCGTTCTAATACACGTTCACACCGTAGTAGCAAAAGAGACTCACGCAGCCCAGAAAAGCGTTCACGTAATATTATTGATGCTGATCGAAGACAATATGATAACGTAACTAAGAGTTCTACAAATAATTCAATGGCAAGCAACCGTTCTAAAGCAGGAGATTTTGATCTGCAAAATACGACGGACTTGCAACATTTACCCTTACCCAAGCGTGAGCCCATTGGAGCATACTACAATCTCGATACAGATGAACCAATCGATAAAGAGCGCATACACCGTGAAATGGAAGAGAAATTGCGTCAAGCACTTGCCAAAGAAGGTAAGGTGTATCCACCAAAAAAGCCCGAGGCTTCACATCCAGTATTTGCAAATGATGGTTCGTTCTTGGAGATTTTCAAAAAAATGCAAGCCCAACAACAACATCCACATGTGCCAGTTGTCACTGCGCCTGCCATTGTTGCCCCTATCGTGGCAGCTCCTGTATTAGCGTCCTCCTCAAGTGCAGCAACATATGTAGCAGCCACAACAACTAGCAAAGTTGCACCACCACCGCCGCTAGTTGGACGCCGGCGAGGTGGAAAAATTCTCAAAACCGGTGTAGTGGCCAAGCCGAAAGCTCAAGCTGAACAAAGTGATGATCCGAAAGACTTTTGGTCGCTTTACTTGGCCGAGGTTAACAAATACAAAAATCACGCTTGCGATTCCGACGGCGGTACAAGGCCACTGGTTAAGTGAACCTAAATAGGTGTTGAATAGAACTTGAGTGAAAATTGTGCATATAAACAATGAATACTTCGAGTTTTTCCCAATGTGACATGAATTCTGTGCATAAACATAATATACCAATATACATATATTCTATATATATAAATGATAGGAGTTTATTTAAATTGAATTACGAATCAATTCCACTTCTTCAAATTTTCTGTGAATAATTTTCATTTTAAAGCTAAAAGTAGTTTTAAGTTTTTTTTTTTTAATAATAGGCTAAGTGGGTATTATAATGAAGTAATAGAAAGAAATAACTGAATGCGTACTCGTATCAGTAACTTTAAATTTTTTACAAGCGTTTGTAAAGCATTTATTTATTGCTATCTGTTACGTCATATATGTGTAAACAATTTACATATATATTTCAATTGTTATTTTATGAGTTCGTCTAAGTTTCGTAACTTTGTTTGCTTATTTGTTCAGCTTTATATCCTCATATCGTTTATTCAATTTTCATTTAATTTCTTTTACCTTTAACTAACATTCACGCATTATTCTCGTCATTTTTTCGTTTGCAAAAATTAAAATCCAATAAATGTATACATATACGAATATTACATAACGTGAGGTGATTGATTGAAGAGCAACAAGAAAATTTGCCAATGTCGAAAAAAGATCAAAAGAAAGCAAAAGAACCAGAATATAAGTTGGAAACTGTTCCGATGGATCCACGTTTTCCCAATTCGAATGTGACGCGACATTGCTGGTTTTCTTATGTGGAATTCCATCGCTGTCAGAAGAGTCGTGGTGAAGGGCATGAATCATGCGCATATTTTCAAAAAGTTTTCAAAACAATGTGTCCGAATGCTTGGGTGGAAAAGTGGAATGAACAACTGGAAGCCGGTGTCTTTCCAGGCCGAATTTAAATTTTTGCCTTTATTATATGCTGTAAATTTTTGTTAAATGACATAATCCACGCTACTAGCTAAACTGTTAAACGCTTTAAAACACACAAACACCAATACCTACAGCTACATAAAAGCATATTGACAATGAAAATCCACTTTTTCACCTATTTAATATAAATTTCTTAAATAAAATTGTTTTTTAGTGTAGAAAAGTACTAAATTTTTTTCGGTACAATTCCTGCACAAGTTGATAAAAATATGTCTTGCATTTATAATGAACTACAAAAGTGGCCACTTCGAATATAATATGCGCAAGAAATATGTACAGTTTCGCTGGAAGTGTTTACATGGAATTCATAGAAGTAAACTGGTTTTTTTTTTAACAAATTTTTTATATAATTTTTTTTTTAAATTTCTTGTTTTAATTGTTTTTTTTTTAAATTATTAGAATTTAATTTTTTTTTTTAATTATTAGAATTTTAATTTTTTTTTTTAAATTATTATTATTATTATTATTTTTTTTTTATATATATAAATATAACCAGTTTTTTCGCTTTTATAACAACATGCTGATTAAATTATTATCCTATTTTTTTTTTACGTAACGCTATCACTACTTATGTGTATTATTCGCTAAGAAATACATATTGATTTGATCTATTTGAAATAAAATATAGACATTGATATATGTACATATATGTATGTACTGATTGTAAACGAAATTAATGACATTCATAACATATAGTGACTAACATAACCATTTCTTTTATATGTCTTTGTATACCGTGTATTTTTCATATAACAATCATCAAATATTGCTCGTACGCTCGCTTGCTCCTTGGCTTTGCCTTTTTCTTCTTGTTGCGATTTATTAATTGCAGTAATTTATAATAAACATTTCCCATGTCTAAAAAAGGCAAAGAAAAAACCATGACGTACAAATTGGAAACTGCGCCCTTCGATCCACGCTTCCCCAACCAGAACGTGACTCGCTATTGTTATCAATCATACATTGACTACCATCGCTGCCAGAAGGTGCGCGGAGAAAGCTACGAGCCATGCAACTATTTCAAGAAAGTATTCTCATCGATGTGCCCCAATGCATGGGTGGAAAGATGGAATGATCAACGCGATGCCGGTACTTTCCCTGGCAGAATCTAAATAGGCATTTTTCTGTGTGTGGCAGTAAACAACAAACCCACATCCTTGCCTTTGCGCTGAAGGGAGAAATTCTAGCAACACTACCAACTAAAACATAATACACTCCCACATCTATATAATTATGTATTATTTACGTAGAAAGTTGTTTCAATATGCGAAGCAGATACAGGCTATTCGGCAGTAAAAATTCTAATTGAAACTGAAAGAGTTATGTAATGATAAATAAATAAATAGATAAAATGAAAAAGTGCAAGTTTTTTTAATTTGGCTATATATCAAATAATTTTGTGTTCGGAGGAAATCGGGAACAGTTGTAAGTATTGAAACCAGGCCTGATTTGTATGTAATCAAAAGCGTTTAATTCCTTGGAACCTAATATATGAAATCATTTATGCTGTTACAAAACCAAGAGCTAAATCTCGAATCCTGCAAATTAACCAGATTATAGACTGATTTATATTAAGCTGGGGATTTTCAGATCACCGATTATATGTATGTTTTGCAACGACAACAAAGAAAACGAGTCTTGTACATTGCATACAAATATACCAGATAAAGTTAATGAATTATTCCGATAGCTTGCCCAGTTAATATAAATTATAAAAATAGAACAGCTGACGTTTACTATCCAAATCCAAATATTTTTTAGTATACACGCATATTTGTTTTAAATTTTGCAATTTTGACTCTTTACTTTTAGTAAACTGTCTTTATAAAATAAATTAAGAAAATATAGATTAACGTAGACATTTTTGCGTTTAGGATATACAAAGCTTATATCTTTACATTTTAATTTTACAATATGTTTACCATTATTATCTAAGTAGATAATCTACGTAAGAGCAGTTATGAAACGATTACAACAACAACAATAATTGTCTCACTTGTTACTCTTTACAAGAGCTTATTTTGTAACAATTCCATTGATAGTTGAAATCAAATATACGTATATATAAGGTTAATACTTCATTCAATCACAGGAACCATCTAGCCAGCCATCTCGCCACCTCTCATTCACTTTAGAACAATCGAATTGTGTTTTACCTAGCTTTACATTGACACGATTGTGGAACTTACATAGCCATTGTGAGAATTCGTATTGTGAATTCACCTGCGCCGGATGTTCTTTGAGGCTGTAACGATAAAGAGTGTTCAAGTGTATGCCACTTAAAAAAAACAGCAATTGCATCTTTGAATGTAATGACATACTCTTTGCGAAAATCTTTGGCACAATGTTCGCATGGATAGACACGTGATAGCACTTCCAGAAATGTTTTCATATCACGCTTTTGATTATCCGAGGGATTGTCTTCATAAAATGCTGCCATTGTGTGCAATAAGCCCCATGTTGCACGACCTAGTGCCACTTTATCCAATGGACAGCCATTTCGTGAGGCTGGACTGTTTTCGGCTGTTTCCTCCTTTGGCGTATCCTGCAATAATTCATATCACTAATAATCGTGTAGTTACGAAATATTTCAACACATTTATATGTGATGCTTCCAAGTTTCTAGAATGTGCAACCACTTACTGCCTTATGAAATATTTGCCGCTGTTGTTTTGACCAATATTTAAAATCGGTACATGTGCGACAATTGTTATCTGGCTTAGCAGGTGCGCCGTAAGCATCGTGTTTGGACATATTTCTTTTCCAAATAAGTTGCAGTCAAAATTAATCAAATAAAATTTGAAATTTTCACCCTTTTATTTATGAAAGAATTTATAGCCGCAATCGCTGTCAGCTGTGATGAAATGTCAATAGGCCGAAAACACACGCATAAACATTTTCCAGTTGGATGTGAGGTTATGAGAGAGAACAAATACCAATGCCGACGACCATTTGCAACGCCGTAATATTAACTTCATAATTGCTATGCCAGCATTGTTTTCACAGTAAACACTATTTAAATTATTAATTTATAAGTGTTGTTAATTTAAATAATTAGCAGCGTTATATTAAGTTATTCTAACTATATATGTAGTGACATTAATTACATTAGTTTACTGTTGTTAAGAGCATATGCAGAGAACGTAAAATATATTTTACATTCTCTGGCATATGTTTGCATTTATTCTTTTAAAATGTTGATAAGCACATGGCAACGCCAACTAACGGAACGGAAAACGTAGGAAATGTATTTGTGAAATGTCAAGTTCAAATCAAATTTGCGCTGAATTGCAAGCGTTATTTAGTAATTTTGTGGAAATTTGTTTCAAATTGTGTTTAAATGTGTAGTAAGTGTTTATTATAAATTATATCAGGTGTTTAGTTTAAAGTGACTACATACAACATTAAAAGAAGCTTGCGTGATTTCTTTGCTGCATGGGCGATAGAAAAAGCGAGTGCAGCTCGTCGAAGAGCATTCAATGCAAATATTCGCAGCAGTTCCGCCGGAAACATAAACTGATTTAAAAATTAGAGACTGTGAGCTGTGGTAGCTTGGAAATTTCTGCAACTGTGTACATACATACCTATTTATACAGACTTTTAACTTTTACTTATTGGCCTAATATATTCAAAGGAGCATGGCTTATGGACACAATCTGATAATAATAAAGCTAGTAGTAGTCTCTTGCTAAATATATATGTATGTATAAGAGTGCAAAAAAAGCCGTGCTAAAGATGATGTGCTGCAACTAACGCATAAGAAAAATATCAAATGTGTCTCCTTGCAATATTTTCATTGTTGTTTATTTATATATATACATATATATTTAATTAATACTTAAAAACTGCTGCCATGTGTATTTTATTAATTATTATGCACTATTCATTAATATGTAAGCTCACAGACGTCTAAATTATATTTATTATATATTTGAGTGCGCATGTAAACGTAATTGCGAAATTGTTTACAATTTGAACAGACTTGCGGCTTATCAATGCGGCGGTGCCTCACGGTGTACGTTCATGTTCGTTGTGGTAGTTCATTAGTTTATCAGTTAAATGCTGTCACACTTAATAATGTTGTGTGAATTTGTTATTGTTGAAAATTTTCGACCTTTTTCTGCGATTATATAACTCACAATGATTGAGGTTGCGACTGGGTGCTCGCCCGCAGTTTAACCTAGAAGACTTTTTCTATGTATAATCTAAATCTGTGCATGATAGCTGTCGAGCGTATATATCTACTATTTTCATTATTTCCTTTCATAAAACAATTATTTAATAATTTTCACGCTTTTGTGGATATGTGCAACTTTTTAAGGTTATTTTGACGCTGTTGACTACACCTTCTTTAACTAACAAGTTTTTCTTCTAACACAAATTAATACCTTTCACAAATATTATCGTCTTGGTGTTGTCGCAAATACTACATCTCCGTCAATTTGTATTTTATTTCTCTTATTCCCAGAAAACACATAACTTTGCAAATATGAAAATGTTATGTTCAGAGCACGTGTTAATTATTACTTTGACGCAATTTATTGTACCGGAAATGCCAATTAAGAATTACTGGATTTTCGCTTAAGCTTGTGAATAAGTTTATATACTTCGCGTACGTACATACATACATATGAGAATGCTTTAACAGATGCTGCGCTTTAATAACTATATTTATTTATTTTTTATTATTTTAAAATATTCCGAACGACATTTTGTACAGCAAAATACTGCACACGCTATGTTTATTTGTAATAAAGGGTGGCTCGTAAATATGTGGCAACCGCTTTCAGTGAGTAAAATTCAAATTTCTTTTAGTTAATTGTTTTTTTTCGAAACTGTAATTAAAATATTAGTTATATACCAAATTCGATAAAAAACTGAAAAAAAAGTTCTAAAAATTTAAAAACTATTCTGTCATCCATTTTTGTTATATTCTAACTAAAATCAAATTTTTTTGCACACCCTATATATGCACTTTTATGTGTTCTGTTTTTATTGCTTGTTAATTTTTAATCTTTTGCAAAAACTTATAATTACCCATTTCGTACAACATTTTGAAAAAATTCCCACTTGAAGTACAAATAAACTGCGCTTAAAAGCAATGATCTAACCATAAATATTCAGTCATAAGCCAGTGTTTACAAATATGTAAATATGTATGAGTGTATGTGTGCTTGCAGTGATCTTTTTACGTCAAGCTTCAACTGTAATTAGCACTGCAGATGCGCCGCGAGTGTATGTATGTATATATGTATGTATGTATTTACACTTGTGATTAGTTTGCATAAATGAACTTCGTTGTCAAATATTACATATTTGCAATTACTATTATTATATTTATTTATTTTTACTTTTTATTTTAATTTTAATTTTTATTTTGTGCATTTATATAGTGCTTGTGTCTATTCGCATGGGACACCCTATATTGATTTTTAAATTTTTTAGGTAATGAATACTGTCTACCCTCATAAATTGTTAAGTGAAAAAAAGGTAAAGTGGAATTTCCTAAACATGTATTTTTTCCATGGAATTATAATCATAAATCTTTATAAATCTCATATATTAAGATAAATATATGATGATACAGGAGTATTTGATCCAGACTGATCCAATTAAACTGTGCGTAAGATTGGTACTTTTTTTTTATATTCGTGCGAAGTTTAATTTGTCGGGAGATTTTTCCATGAAAAAAATCTAAATTTTAAAATTTGCTAAACATTTTGTGTTTTCAATGGCATACCGTCTACGGAATCTTTGAAAATATTCCGGAGGTGTTTATCACGAACAGAAGTATTTGAGTCATATAAAGCATTCAGTGAAGGTCGTGAAGTCATCGAAAACTTGCCTCATACGAGTCGACCATATCCACCTCTGTTAATGACGATAACATTGAAAAAGAAGAAATTAGAAAAAGAAATATTGCAACAGAGATAGCAGATGTTCTCAACATCTCTTATGGATCAACTCAATCATTTTGGTTAATATTTTGCGTATACCAGACTCGTACCAAAAGAACTGATTCTTTTATAAAAATGACGTCGTGTAGAGGTCGCAAAAGAGATGCTTGACAATATAGCTAAGAATTTTACATTCATCAATTGCAGCATTACTGGTAATGAGACATGTGTTTATGAATATGATAGGTAGGACAGTTTCGAAGTCCATAAATCTAGTTAATGGCCGAGCTGTAAACGAAAAAATTTAATTTCGCTGAAGGTCATCACAGCCAAGGCTTATAAAAAGTGTATTGAAAATTGGATTAAGCGCTGGCCTTATTTAATGGCTATAATAAACATTTGTATTAAAATAAAAATTCGGGTAAAATTTGTTCAGATTATAAATGATTTCGTCTTGGCCAGAAAGCTTGTAAAGGAAGACATACCTCGAAGGAATTTTTGAGAGGAATGTGTGCTAAGCAGAGTAATTTCCTTGTACTTGTAATTTAGTATGATCTGCACGATATCAAAGCCTTACCTTACACTCTATTGTTTTGACCCTAGCCTTTAAAGTTGTTTACGAGGCCTCTTAATAATTTTCACATATTTTTCTTACAATGGGTGATCTGTTTATGCGCCACCTATTAAATAAATGGTTGGTCCTGTATGGAGAGTTTAAGCTGACTCAAATGAATGAATTTATTATGTGTATTGAAATAAGTGACAAAAATAGGCGTAAAGATTTGCTTTTGTAAATTAAAATTGCTTTTGTAGAAATAAAAAATCAAATAAATTTTTACCCGAAGAAATTCAACAATACTGGTAACTTCTTTAACTGTGTTGTTTTGAAAATTTGAGTAAATTTTATATATGTGTATTTCATATACTTCGGGAAATTCGTATTTTAGCGAGTAATCACTTTCGCTTACCAGAAAACATGGTGTGCTGTAATGTCTGTTTCTCATAAAAGCTTAATTCCGATTTAAGGTGAAACGTTTTGCTATAATTCATTAGCAATTTTAAAAATATCTTTCAAAAAATCATTTTTGTTAAGTTTCCTAGAATTGTGTGTTAAAAAACCTTTAATACGATTAAGTGATGAATGGAAATTGAATACATCACGTGTAATAACTTCAATTGAACCGGATATATGTAAATACAATTACAATAATTTCTCATTTAAAATTCAAAATCGATCGAAGCTATCAATCAAATTACGTCATCATAAATCAATTAAACGCCAAATGTAGGGTACTTAACACAGCGGCTGAAACATTTCAATCAACAACGCTTGCTATTTTTTCATACCGATCGAGAAAGACAGCAAAAAACAACAACAAAAAAAGAAACGACGAAAAAATAATCTCATGCAAAAACAACAAATATGCATCTCCGATTAATTCCAGTTTGTTTAGATCGAACGCCACAAGCTCGCTTGCATCAACATTTTCCAATCAATAAAAAGCCACCACTTTCGAGTGCCGCAACCAGTTTTCTGTGAATGCTGTGCGAGACATCAGCGAAACTGTCGTGAAGATGAACAAATTTACGGTAAATTGAAAAATTATTAAAAATTCTTGTTTTCAAGTAATCAATCGCTTGTCTTTTGCAATTTTCAGGTGATTTTTGTTGCCTTAGCCGTTTTGGGCGCCGTTAATGCCTACGGCGCTGGCGGTGGCTCTAAATATGGTGGTAGTGGGGGCTTTGGACCAGGAGGCGGTGGTGGCGGCTTTGGACCAGGCGGCGGTGGTGGCGGCTTTGGTCCAGGCGGTGGAGGCGGTGGTGGCGCTGGTGGAGGTGGTGGCGGTGGACATGGTGGTGGCGGCGGATTCGGACCCGGAGGCGGTGGTGGTGGATTCGGCCCCGGAGGTGGTGGTGGTGGAATCGGCCCAGGAGGTGGTGGCGGTTTCGGACCAGGTGGCGGCGGCGGCTCTGGTGGTGGTGGTGGCCACGGTGGTGGTGGTGGAATCGGTGGTGGTGGTTTCGGACCAGGCGGCGGTGGCGGTTTCGGACCAGGTGGCGGTGGCGGTTTCGGACCAGGCGGCGGTGGCGGTTTCGGACCTGGCGGCGGTGGCGGTGGCGGCTCTGGTGGTGGTGGTGGTGGTGGTGATGGCTTTGGTTCAGGTGGCGGCTTCGGCTCAGGCAGTGCAGGCGGTTTCGGCTCAAGTGGTGGCCATGGCTCAAGTGGCGGTCATGGCGGTTACAAAAAGCATGGCTATTAGATTAAATGAACTGCTTTTATTTTGCTGTGATTTTTTAACTGTGAAAATATGTGTATATAGTTTTCGTCTGGAAGAAACCGTAGAATATGTTTGATAAAATAAATTTGTTTTTATATAACTACCTCATTTCGTTTTGGGTAATTTTACGTTGAGGGGTGGTTGTTTGACTTGGTTAAGGTCATGATCGCCAATAGGTGGCATTATCTTAGCTCCGCCTACTTTAACTTATCCGTAAGACTACTTAGGACCTGGGTTCAATTTGAGTTTTGACCAGCGGTAAAAGTTTTTCTAATGCCTCTCGTTTCTGGGTACGTAATATAGGCGCAAAACCTTTCATGTATTCGATCCTTCTCTCAGAGATGTCTTAAATACTCTTATTCTAGGATTTTCAATATTAAGATAATATAAGGGACAGACCACAAACTGGAGGTGAAGTTCGTCCCAGCAACTCTTCAAAGCTGTAAGCTTCTCTTTTTGTCTCTCGGTATATCTTTCAGATTTAACATAACATAACAAAATAGAATTTTAACTTAATATTACATAACTTAACAAAGTCTAACATAACGTAACGTGATATAACATAACTTAACTTAACACAACATTACATAATGGAACATAACATAATTTAAAATAATATACTTAACACAACATTAGATTACATAACATAACATAACATAGCATAACATAACACAATACAACATAGCATTAATATTACAAAAAATACTAAAATAAAAAAAGTGAATTTTAACTTAATATTACAATACATAACATAACATAACATAGCATAACATAACATAACGTATCATAACTTAACATAACCTTGTATAACATACCATAGCTTAACATAACATAACTTTGCTTAACTTAACATTTACAGCAATTCTATAAGCGCGTACTCTTATGCGAGAACAAATAAGCTAACGGATTATAATCACCATACGATTAACCGATGCCCGCTTGTCGAAATACCAAATCGGTATATACGTGAGGTTCAATCGTTAGATATAGAATAAATATTTATGGTTTAAAACCCTACACTTCATACATATCACAGCACTCAAATATTTTTGACGAAATAAATTCTTCGATAGCTTTTAGAGCCAATTTAAAAAAATATTATCCTAGAAGGTACTGCTAAGGGCTTCAACTTTGTGTAAGCCTTAACACATAAGTGTCATCAATTGCCAATAGAACACAGCTGTTGCTGTTGCTCATACAACAACACACCTGTAAGATGTAGTAAAAGCTCATTTGGCGCGCAAATGAAAGCTCTTTGGCCTGATTTACGACCAGTAAGCCGACATTTCGTTAGCTTCTTGCGCTCTTCACACAATGCTTCGTTAAAAAAGCACACAAATACAAGAACTTTGTAAGAAAAGCTTTTGAGAACATAACGGTGCCTAAATAACGGACTACCATGCAACGGTTAGTTTAGTCTTCGTGAGGTTCTGTTCGTATTAACAACGTTTCGATGCGAGTTAACGCGCCGTCAATAGTGAATAATAAAAAGGGTTCTAGCCCTAACACATGTACAAGTGTTTGAAACAACAACAACAATAACAAAAAGAAAAGCAAAAACAAACAAACAAAGAAACATTCTAAAGTAATAATATGAGGACAGACATTCCTGGCCGACACGCACACACGGGCTAGCTGGCTGGCTGGCTAGTTGGCACATTGAAGCTACTACTACTATAGGTGTATATATGTATGTAGTTGTGTGTGTGTGTGTATGTGTGCATAAACATACATAATTGTAGTACTACGACGAGGCAACGTTGTGAAAGTGCACGCGCTTCTGCATATTTCTTTATAAGCTATGCGCTAGAACTGCCATGTGTTTGGGTGTGTGTGTTGGTGTGACGCACACATTACTGTTGGTGTTGTTGTGTTTATGCAATTACAAAACAAAATATTTAATGGAAAGCGGTCGAAAGTGAAATCATCACCACCCCACAATCACGAAGCTGAGACCCCAGCACTTAGACTGCCTGCACATATACGTTTCTATGTGAGTGTGTGTGTGCTTCACTACCTTTGCCTACTACTGACTCGCGCATCTGCGTAGGCACACTGTTACGTGTGTCTGATGTGTGTGTGTGCGTTTGTGTGAGTAAGTGCTCAAGTTGCTGAGGAACATTGAATCTTATATAAGTTGTGTAAGCCAAAAGTAGAAGAAGCAACTGAAACACGGGGCAACAAAAACCAGAAAAAAAGTATCGTAAAGCATAGTAACAACAACAAAACAAAAAATGTACGGTGAATTTGCGAAAGGCACGCAGCGTGGTAGCCACTTAGAGCAGTCGAGGCGAAGAGACTAACTAATCCAAGCAAAAACGCAACAACAACAATAACAACACGTGTAATTGCGAGCAGTTACCAAAAAAAAACAACAACAAAAAAAACAGTAACAACAACAAAATTTAAAGAAAACATGAAAAAGCATAATAAATACAAATACAACAACAACAACGGCAAAAGCAAACATGCCACCGCCGCGAAAGCAGTGTAATAAATATAAAAACAACAACAAACACAGCAAATAACATAGTAAGCACAACGAACGTTTTCCTGTTAGCACCACTACAACAACACACACACAAACGTACACGTGTGTGTATGTGCGAATGATTGGCTGCCTGCCGCCATGAGCAAAGCAGCAAGCTTGGCAACTCCTACAGCAACTAAACTTCAAATCAAATAAAGCAATAAATTGTGTGCTCCCAACCGGCCGCCCCCTACCCTCTCTCACGTGGAAGCGTGGCAGAAGCGAAGCGGACCTTACCTGTTTCGCAAGGAGTCGGATTGCCAGCAACACACTTATACCGTTAGAAACAGCGGCTGCATCGCTTGTGCTAAGATTTTGGCAAATTACTGAGCCGCAGCAGGGCAGTCGGCTTCTTGTCGTAAATTGAGAAATTATTATAAAAATGCAAATAAAAATAAGTAAAATTCAATGTTGTGCAACGCTGAAATAATCGCAAGCAAATTAACGCTAAGAAATATGCGAACGTCGAATGTTTGGTGAAATTGCGAAATCGTCGGCAAATCGCTTGAGAATCAAAGCGCCCAGTTATTAAAAGTGTAATAACAAAAAGTGATAGCAAATAAAATAATATGTAACTACCGTAACTTGGCATATAATAAGCTCAACAATAACAAAAACAACAGCAATGCGCATGAAAACGAATCATAAAGCATGAAATGAAATTTTAATTGTTCAACGCTGTTAATCGGCGGCATGAAATACTCGTACTCTACGGTTGTAAATTGTAATGCGATTAAAGGAATTAAGTGAAAAGTTTACAATAACAAAATTACGAACTGAGCTCATGCTTTCGCAATGCAACAGGGTGTATGTTTTATGAGAGTTTAAGGTGAATTTGTATTGAGTGGAAAAATTGTGAAATTTAGAAAAACAAAATAAATTAAAATTGTTTAAATTAAAAAAAAAATTAAATTAAATTAAAATAATTTAAATAAATAAAAAAAAAATTAAATTAGTTGAAAAATTAAATTCATAAATAGTGTTAAAAAAAAATTATAAAAATAAAAAAATAAATTATAATAAGAATAAAAAAATATAAAAAAGTTAATGAAGTGGTATTAAAAACTAATACAGAGGATTACCTCCTTCAAAATAAAACTAAATATGTATAGATATGAATTATATTAAACATAATTTTTTATAAAGTGCAATAATAAAGTTTTTTAAATTAATTGAAAATATTAATTATGAAATAACACAAATGGAAGAGTAAGTAAATTATTTATTATTTAATAAAAGCAGTAATAATTATAAACTTATGTTTAAAAAGTTAAGACAAAGAAAGAAGATTGAAAATTAAAATATTAAATTAAAAACTTAAAAACAAAATTCGCATAGTATAAAATCTTATTAATTACAAATTAATTAAGCAAAAAATTACAAAAAAATTTTTTCAGAAAATGAATGAAAAATTTAAAAAAATAAAAAAATTAAATAAATGAATTATAAAATAAAGTAAAATAAAAACAAATGAATTAAAATAAGGAAATAAAAAACAAAATAAAAACAAAAACATAAAAAACCAAATTAAATAAAAAAATAAAAAATAAAATAAAATAAAGAAATAAAAATGAAAACTTAAAGAAAATATAGTAAAAACAATAAGAATTCAAGAAATAAGCTAAAAAAATTTAATGAAACGAAAATATCGAAGTAAATTATAAAAATGTACCGAAAAAAAGTTTATTATTTGAGAATTTGAGTTCGAAAGTTAACAAAAAAAAAATTAACTTCGAAAACTGTTCAAAAATTTGAAGTAGAAAAATTGAATGCAGAACAATTTTATTAATTTAAAAATAATTGAATACAGCAAATAAACCAGAAATTTTTTTTGACTAAAATTAGACAAATTTAATTTCTAAAACTATGCGAAAAATTAAATTAAGCGAAAAATTAACACATTTTTGTTAAAAATTATTCAAATAGTTACTTTCAATTAACTGAAAATATTATATAATATAAATAAAGGCTTAATTTCGAAAACTATACGAAAAATTTAATGCAACAAATAAAGAGCTATTTGGTGTTAACAAATTTCAATAAAAAATGAGTTAAATAAAAAAAGAAATGAGTTAAATAAAAATAAACAAAGTGAAGTTTTAAAAAATTTTAGAAAAAATTAAACAAAAATAAATCGATTTCAAAACTGCATTGCGTAATAAAAAAGAAATTATACCGAAAAAAAAACAAAAATAAATAAATAGAAAATATAATATAATAAAAAAATTAATCAAAAAAATTATAAAAAAATTATAAAAAAATATTATAAAAAAAATGATCGAAAAAAATAACAATAAAACTATTAAATGAAAATCGAGCACCCTAAAATACTAAAAGCTAAATTAAGAAAAGAAAAAACAGTAGATTTGTTAGCTAAGCACAAACAACAGATTTGATGTTACACTGTAAGTTAGTTTGTTAACAAATAATAAAAGTACATAGTTAAATCAGCACTAAAAACTAGCTACAAATTAATTAGAGACAAGCGCTAGCTGGTAGTTTATGTAAATAACGAGCAACTAAGAGGCATAGCATATAGAAACAAGTGACTACTTTAAATTTAATTGTGTTTAAATGTGAGTTTTAAATGAAAACAACAATTACGCCATAAATATACAAATATAAAATTTTGTGAATTATCGCAACGTGAAAATATAAAATCCAAATAATTGCTAAACAAGGCAACCAGGTAAGTTAAACACTAGTAAATCTGTTTTACTACATTAAGTATGCAAATGTTTTCAAATTTGTGCAGCAAGCGGTGTTTTCAAATATTAAAAAAAATTTTTTTTTCAAAAATAACGAAATTTTATGAACTGGTTTATATATAATATCTAGTCTAATTTTATATTCACTGAATGGACAATAATTATTTGTTAAATATAGAAAGAAAAAGTGGGAACATAAAAAAAGTGTTGCCTACATTTCGGCGGTTTATCGAAATCATATCTTATCGAAGTCACACACCTACTTATTACTCACTGGAAAAATAATGGAATATCTTTTGATAAATTTTTTTGTCAGGTTTATCTTATTTAAAATTACTAAACCTTGTAGAGATGTTTTGGGAGAAACATATATAGGTACATATATTAGTGGCCTTCTTCCTTTATTTGTTAATAGGCATTTATACTTTTTTTCCGTCTTCGTCTTTGCTATCAGTTTTTTTCATCTCTCCGTTTTTAATATACATATATATAAATGTTTTTATGGCAGTTCCCTCTTTACTGTCATGGTATTATTTAATTGCAGCTAGTATTTTAAATAAATTGGATTGCCTCCTAAAATTATGCAATACCAGTCAACTTAATATGTATCCAATAACACTTGCCTATAAATAAAAGTCATGCTATGTAGCTATAGTATAAATACATGTTTAACATATTCGTCTACCATATACCTTGTTGTTGCCAATAAATTATGCATGTCAATTTTATAAACATTTTTGGTGAAGTATTGAAAATTACAAAGCTCTTGGGAAATTACAAATATTTACTTTGCTGCTGGTTCTTTGGTGCCAAATGCGCTTACGCCTTTGCATACCAAATTTATGTAGCTAAACAAAAAATAAAACAATTTTAATTTTGTTATGCAACGTTTGTTCTCGTCACATACAAAACAGTGGTTCAAACTTTTTTTATAAAACTCCAGGACTTGAATCGCAAGTAATCGTCTTTATTGCATTACTCATGTTTGAATTAAAGTGTATTTTTATAAAAAAATATCCGCAAATTACATTAAAACGACTTTTATAGCAGCTAGCTTGCATATATACCAATAGTAATTGGTGAAACGTGGCGTATGAGTGACATTTTTTTTATCGTGTTCTGCTACATTCTCTTTATAGTACCATGAATTCAGTCGCAGTGTGAAACATGCAATAAATTTTGGTAAATTCATATTGAATTTGTGATAAAGAAATTAAAGAATTTATAATATTTACAATACAAGATTTTTATACCCTGAACCAGGTGTATTAAATTTGCCACGAAATTTAAAACACGCAGAGAGAAACGTCGGAGACCCTTTAAAATATAAATGTATGTGTATATATATGTGATCAGCGTGACGAGCTGAGTCTAATTAGTCTTGTCTGTGTGTTTTTAAATCAGTACATACGCGAACTAGTCCCTCAGTTTATCAGATATCGAACTTAAATTTTGCTCCAAGAAGCTACTCATTTCATGGAACCGCCGATCATCGAACCACTATTGGATATACATAGGTGCCATACAAACTAAAGGAACAAAATCAAATCCGTGCATAGAAAACTTTTTTATTTGAAAATATATTTTCACGATATTTTACACAGTTTATTGTCCAAACTAGTGTTTTAATCTACGGAGATATTATTCAGATCGGACTACTATAGCATCCACCTGCCATACAACCCCTCATCCAAATCAATTCCTTCTGTGGAAATTTTTTTTTTTTTGAAAAATTATCTTCAAGAAATTTGGCTTATATTACTTTCTAAAGCAACTCTATAATCTCCAATACAAACTGACGGCTCAAAATCAAGATAAAATCTTTTTATGATATCGGCCGTAAAGCATTCAGTAAACGAATTAAACATATTTATAACACATACATATATACATATAACTGTCAATTTAATTTTAAATATTTCCTCATAGCAACTTTTACTAGCACAAAATCAAATAATACCAACTGGTATGACACAGCGTATGAGTGATCTGCCTTTTTGGTGACTGCTTTTTGGCTTTCTCAACATAAAACAAATAAATTATAATAAAGTAGTATAATTACAATTAAGAAATATGAAAGTATTGAAAAAGATAGCGAAAGTTTCATAAAATTGCTTGGTGAACTCGGCTAAAAATTACTTCAACATAAAAAGCATTAGGTATGCCACGTCGTATGAGTAATTTTATTTATCTTCTATCTATGTTACAAAGATGTTGATATTTCTAAAAAATTAAATCATGTATGTCTTTAGTGATTGAAAACAAAAAAAATTATATATACTAGATTTTTCAATTTCGACAAAATTTTTTATCCTAAAAATCTATGCAAATATTTGGTGTTCCAGAGAATATGTGCCATAACTTCCTTGGCTCACCTCTCCAATTTGTTTTTTTTGACATACCACTAGTGCTCTGTAAACTAAGTTTCCGGCACTTTTGGTTGTGATCGTATGCTAACATGTATTATTATTTGAAAAATGAACAAAGTGGAGTTCGAAAATGAACAAGAAAAAAATAATAATTTAGCTAAAAATAAACAAAATTAATTTCGAAAACTGTTCGAAAATTTTAAGTAGAAAAATTAAATGCAAAAAACTTAGTTTAAAAATAACCGAATAAATCAAATAAATCAGAAATTTTTTTTTACTAAAATTAGACAAAATTAATTTCGAAAAATATACTAAAAATTAAATTAATCGAAATAAAAACAAATTTTTGTTAGAAAATTATTCAAATAACATACTCTATTCTACATATCGTCTTGGTTAAGCGATTCACCTTAGACAGTTTTCACTTCTTGCTTTCCATTTTTAGCGCATATTTTTATTCTGAATAAGTATAAAAATCATCTTTAAGCTGCCAAATATTGAGAAAAAATTTATTTATGCCTTTTAACAACAGTTCTATACCGTTATATAATAAATATGGTAAGAAAACTACTTAAATTCTGATGCACTCTCGCAATTGATATCAAAAATATTTTTGACCAAAACTTATCAATGCAATCATATTTGGTAGAGCTATGATAAAACTCCTAAGTACTTGACAGTCATTTCCATAGAATATTTCTAAATTTTTGGTCACAAATACTTCAAAAAAATACAACTTTTCGAGCAGATTAAAGCATTTGCTGAACTTTATTCACAAAAATCAAGCTCCGCCGAAAACACGAATAATTTAAAGCAATATTATTCTATTTAAACATAATTCTGCATTTACAAGCTAAAAGCGCATAAATCGACTTAAGACACAACTGTGTTATTGCTAAGACAATGTCTCATCAGCTACCAAATGAGCTTCCTCTGCTACTTTTACTTCAGTTATAAGATTTGAGTTGGCAAAAAGTAAATCTCTCATAATCCTAAATTTATTTTAAAACTTTACAGTAGTTTTTTTTTTCAGAATTATACAAAGTAAACTTTGCCTCTTTATCCATATGGCCGGAGCATAGTTTGCGATAACTATGCAGCAATTGAATAAAATAACCAATAAATGCGCGCACTCATTTATATTACCCAAAAACAAAATGTAGAAGACACAATGAAAGCTTAAACGTAGATTTGTAGTTTCTTTGTTTTGAATTATTTATGAACCAATGGAATATTTTGACCACACAAAAGAGAGTTCATTGAAATGTATTGCATTGAATTGCCATGTCATGAGCAATATCCATGCGCTCAAGGATAACTCAAACTCAGCACACATACACACACATATATATACATACAAATTTCTGAAGTTTGAGCATAGTGCTGGTAAATGATAAATAGTTTATGCACTTTGTCTGACTCGGTGCTTTGCATAAATAACTATGAAATTGCCTTGTACTCAAATACAGAATATATAGTTTATACCCGAAAGCAGCTTCGCGCATAAGAATACTATGAATTTGCTGAACTAACGTCGAACTGTGATAGGTTTTAGGTAGCTAGGACTTAAATGTTTAGTTGAGAGATGCGCGAAAACGACTCGGAGGAGGTACGATGGTCGAGACTACTTAATAGTAACAGACCCAGATTTGAACCAGAACTACCAAACTCGACATATTATTTCGGGAATATTTTTTCCTCGATACAATAACAGAATGAGGAATGAACTCTGACTAAACAGTATTTTAATGCCGTTTATCCGTTACTTGATCTAGGTAATCGTTTAATCGCTCATCTTCAAAGACTTTTGTTGAGGTTCTCTTGACCGAAACTTTCTTAAAGGGTAAACAATTGAAAAAGCTCCAAGAAGGCATCGGTCACTTTATATTAATAAAGATGGATATTAAAGTTTTTCCCTGGCAGTTATCTTCTGTATAGAAAGCCCGCATAGTGGTTTTGCCAAAGCAACCTTGAAATTGTACATTTGGTGATTAAGCTGAAAGCTTTGGACTTAGTTTTGGCGTATGAGAGCTTGATTTTCTTGAGAAAGTTCGAGCTACTTGTTCCACATTTCTACCAAAAAAACCAAGCGAAGCTTCTTGTTAGACTATTGATAGAGCTTTATCTTATAATAAATTGGGAGCGAGGTGTCAGTTTGAAGCTTCAAAGCCAGAACTTTATCTTTACTTTCATTTTGATCAAGACTGAGTGGTAGCGAGGTAAGATAGTATTGCCAAAAGGCTCTCCATCAACTTCTGTCAACGCCTCCAGATTTTTTCGAATTTCTAAAATTAATTTCAAATCTAATTTGACAACTAGATAGTTACTAAGGTATTAGATATCGAGAGAGATCAATGGAAGTCTAACTCTGTTGTTGTGAAGAAATGCTGCCGCGTTCACAGACCTTGGTCGGACAAATACCCGAACCGTTCCGGTTATACAGACCCGACTGTTTTGGGAACGGTCTAACATTCTTGTCGCGTGTTTCAGAGCTTTCCAGTAACAAAGCTGAGCACGAGAATATTGTGGTAGCACTTGATATTGATCGCCAAAAAGTTCTCGCAAGAGGCGACGGCTATATGAACATCTGGTTCTATATGTACTTATCACCC